ATGCTGCTATTCGCGCATATAAAGCTAAAGCCCTGTACAAAACAACACCAAAAAAAGACATTCTAATCTTACTGATTAACGATCGACTAATGAGCTTCGTTTGACGGTCAGGAATATAAAAATGAACAAAATGCTGTCAATTTACAATTCTCCACCGTATTTACTATGCTGTGCGCAACTTCAGGTAACTCAAAAACTTGCGTACACGAGCTGAGACCAGACGTGAGATTTGATCGTAGCCACCGCTCACGTCCATATTGATAAATTCCAAATTTTGCGTTGAAACGACCGTACGCCCAATTTTCTGTCGTACGTTCGTTTCGTAAATGAGGCCCATTGAGAGCATGGACAGGAAAAGTGAAAGCATAAAAAAATTCTCTATGCTTTCACTTTTGCTATATCTTTCCTCTCATTAATCCTTAATCTCTTTCTGTTCAAGCTTCTACTGTTTTGAATGATGACCGAAAGCTTGTATTATTGGCAGTGTTGGGAAGGTTACTTTGGAAATGTAATAGGTTACAGATTACAAGTTACCCTACTTAAAATGTAATAAGTAGTGTAACTTTTCAGTTACTTTATTAAAGTAATGTAACTGATTACATTTGATTACTTTTCTACATTTTTAATGTTTTCAACTGTTTATCATTTTTAAACATGTAAACTAGGCAGAGTAAGACATTGGATGCAAAATTAACTTTTACGTGGTGTTTGCATATAAATGTATCTTAGCAGTGTGTGTACGCAACCACCCTACAATGATAAAAATCCATTCACTCCTTTTTTTTTTTAATCCCCCAAAATCCTAAACAGTCTCAATTATCAAGCCGTTTTGATTTTCTGAGCAGTATGATGTCATATTGCTCAGGCCCCGCCCACAAACGCTGAAGTACTGTCCAACATTAGCATATTTTTGTCCATAGCCAGTTGGACGAAATCCATAATTTTCTCCACACTCCAGCAGCTGTGGCGACAATGTCTTGTAAGCAATGTAGGTGTTTTGTAGTTTTGTGATGTAGAAGAACATGAGACTTTAGTCTTTGCAACTTCAGGGATCTTATCTATGCACAATCAGCTTGTAACACTCCAAAGAAAAAGGAAAACTTCAAATCGCATTATATGACCCCTTTAAAACTCAAGGATAGATCAGCACCTAGTGTTTGTGATCCAGCTGCACCTCCAGAAGAAGTAAGTCTGACACTTTATATTTTTTATGATTATTTACAAATCGCCTTTGCTCTTCCACGAAGAAAGGGGCGGGTAAGCAGAGCTCATTAGCATTTAAAGGGACATGCCCCAAAATGAGTCGCTGTGAACAGAGCAAGGTAAAAAGGGTGTTGTTTTACACGACCACTGAGGAATTTTAACCAAAGTATGTTGCAGACCGTTCATGAAGACCCTAAAGAATCATATCAACTTGTGGAAGATCAACTTGTGTCCCCTTTGAAGCACAGCCACCACAAAATCAGACTTACTTTGAGATCATTCTGAGGTTAAATACATATTTAATTTAGAAATATTTTATTATCTATGATACTGCTTTTGAAATCAAATCTTTACATAGCTATGACAGTAAACACTGGAATCTAACAATGCCTTGGAAAAAAACAGTTAATCTTTAAAAAAAACAATTAAGCATGGCTATACATAAACCCATATAGGAAATTATCGAGTTATCGAATAAGCATGTTCTAAACTCCTGAAACATTGGAGTTTCATATTTTAAAGCAGTCACTGCAATTTATGAAAGAAATCAATTAAGTCTGTATGTGGAAGTGTGTGTGGAAAAAAAGCAGATGTAACCCCCTTTGTAATCCTTAACATTTTCATAAGTAACTGTAATTTAATTACACATTTTTCTCAGTAACTGTAACTGATTACAATTACTTTTATTTTGTATTTAAATTCCGTAATTCCGTTACATGTAACTAGTTACTCCCCAACACTGATTATTGGCACTTCTTATTGCCATCTTATGTGTATTCCTTAACTGTAAGTCACTTTGGATGAAAAATTAATAAATGTAAACTTTCTAAATCAGGTCTCAAAATGTCTAAAAGTTTAAATTCACTTCTTTCACCCATATTAACTGCTCTTTAAATATTTTCAAGTGGTTTGATTGGATTCTGAAGAGAAGGGAACTCCATTCAAGCACACCGCTTGGAGAAGAAAAGGCATTTCAGTTCAGGTAAATAGTGTTCACTAATTCTCAGTGTAAAATTTAATTTTGCACTAATCACTGACAGAGCACAACATTTATTTTGCCATATTCATTTTAAATGAATTATGCAGTAAGACATACCAGTTGTGATTTACAATTATCATTATAATTTACCATATCAATATTCCTTGTACTTTTATTATGCAATAAGATATATTGATTTATATCGGTTAAGATCTATCACTGTGTTGGTGAGGGTTTGTTTATTGTAAGATTGTTGTTTAAATAATTGTAATTTTCTAAGTTGTATTTTTTAGTGTGTTAAAAAAAAATTTGTTTATATACCAAAAAATTCCAGCAATGTCAGCCTCCAGTTCCCTGCCCTCATAATTTATTTTTATTGCTCACATTCAAATAAAAATCGAATTAGTTTAAATAACCAGCCAATACAAAGTTGTTAACACAGAAAACGTACTATACAAACCAAACAGATATGTTTAAGATGACCAACTAATAATAAACCACTTATTTTTCTCATTTATTATTTACAGATTAGCATTATATTCACTAGTATTTTGCAATGATTGGAAACTACTATTTTCTTAACTTACACAGTGATTGTTTTGTATAGAGATCTAACAGAGAAAGAATATGAGAGACTAGCAGATGAGACGCTGGATGCATTGGCAGAGTATTTGGAAGACCTCACAGATGAGAGCTTCACTGGAATGGACTATGACGTTGTCTTCTCTGTAAGTACACATGCCCATGTTTTCGCATCCTTACATGTTGAATGCAATTGTGGTGCTTTTACATCTCGACCTCATGAAAAATCTGTTGTGCCTAAATGTCCAGTAGGGGTCAATGTTGGTCTGTGTTAGGCTGTTTGCTAAACCATTTAGTTGGATGAACCAGGATCTTTAATTAGAAAAAATGTAGAGTAGAGCCATTTGGAGGTGGAAATTGATTTAAAATATATGGTATTATAGTTATTATTCTTAGATCAATTGATATAGACCATTGCAGTTACAAAAGTAAACAAATTAGAATTGGCAAGATTTAAAAAATGTGAAAAAAAATTGCAATTATGCATTTAATTTAAAATATTTTTGGCATGATTTGGAGTTGCTGTTTTCCATCTTTTCTTAAAGTTGCACACTTCATCTGTCATGTAACCCATTTGTCTAAACTTGATATCCCCAGCCTTTTTGTGGAACATTGCAATTAATTTGTTGCTCTGTAGGGTGAAAAAGGAGTCCTAAAACTTTTATAATGGTATCTTTTCTCTTCTTCTTTTATAGGAAAAAAGGTTTGTTTGAGTGTTATTGTTGTTGAGTGCTCCTGCACGACTTCTGTTAAGAGTTCACTGCAAAAAAAGCCATTTGTGCAGCAGCCTTTGTTGCAGCACCATGCAGAGAAAATGCACGTCTCCTGCAGGATTTATGAAGGCTGTAAACACTCAGATCTTTTAGCATGTTATTGTAAGACTGGAATAATGCCACGTTCAGTTTTTCACACACACACACACACAAGCACAGATATGTATTTATTCATTAATTTATTTAGCAAACATCTTTCTCAAACCCAGAGAACGATTGAGTCCATGCACTCATTTCAGTTTCATTTAAGTGGCTCTTGGGTGGCCAGCAGGCCCTGCTGACAGATTGATTGGTCATTCACGCTCCTTGCTCTCCTCTGGCTGGATAAATGTCAGGCTTCCTGTCAGCTACTTACTCTGAGCGGCCCATTTTTTACACCTCTCTATAGCCTCACATGCAACCAACAAACACAGACAGCTGCAGTCGTCCCCTTAAATGGGATTCAGAAAATTCTGTTTTGCACCCTGACTCTGTTGCTACAGCTAGGATGATATAATGATACTGCGTCCCTTTAGATCAAACATTCGGACAGCTGAGCCATGGTGCGGTTGACAGATTGAGCCATGTTCCCAGTGCTTGGCCTCGGATCTGACTGTACACTCACACATATATAAATCATCTTTGTTGAGGTTCTTTCATATACATTTGTTACACATAATTAAACAATCATTTTGTTTATGAATTCTAAATCGGTAGCATTTTGGCATCAATTTAATTGTAAGAGTTTGTGGTTTAAATGGGTTGTTGTGACTTAGGATCATTATCATTCAGTGTTGTGAAAAAGTTGATTAATTTATTTTGAATGTTAGACTATATATATATATATATATATTTTATATATATATATTCGTTTTATTTAAAAATATTTTCAGAAGTTGGGAAAAAGTAAGCGGACTTGGTCATTTATTTTTAAATTTTTTTTATTTCATTTATTTTATAAAATTGTTATAAATATATAAGTATAATTTAAGAATCTCTTTTATCCATTCGAGTTGTTATTCCTGTAAGTGGTGCCATTTTAATGTTGCAGCCTCAGACTGAAGTCCTCGTATGATTACACATGTGTGTTAAATTTCTTACCAGAATGGGGTGCTGACAGTGAAAGTGGGCTCTGACCATGGTACATACGTTATCAACAAACAGACACCCAACCGACAGATTTGGCTCTCCTCACCGACAAGGTTAAACACTCAGTTCTTAATGTTCATATGTTATGCTTAACTGTTTAATCAGTTTTAAATAAAACAGTTAGAAGTCTCAATTTCTTGCTAACGTGTAAATCCTTAAAGTGCCAGTATTATTTTTTGCCTTTAGAAATGCTAGTTCTTGCATTAAAGGGGTCATATGATGCTTTTTTAAAGATCATTATTTTGTGTATTTGGTGTAACAGAATATGTTGACATGCTTTAATGTTCAAAAAACACATTATTTTTCAAATACTGTACATTATTGTAGGTCCTCTATGCCCCGCCTCTCTCAAACGCTTAGTTTTCTACAAAGTCCCTCCTTCCGACAAGCGCAGTCTGCTCTGATTGGCCAGCTGACCCAGTGCATTGTGATTGGCCGAACACCACAGCACTCGTGGGAAATGTAACACCCCTTACCATAATCGCGAGCTTCATCTTTCAAAATAAATGTAAAGACAGAGCCCGAAAGGGGAACAGAGTCTGGTGACAGACACAGTGATGAAGCTGGTATGTGTTTGCAGTACACAAGCCACGGCTAAGAGGGCTGACTCCACTGTGATGTCTCGCTCTCTCTCTCGCTCTCTCGCTCTCTCTCTCTCTCTCGCTCTCACTCTCTCTCACTCTCTCACTCACACACACACACACACACACACGATGCGCAAAACTCCGCATTTGAACAGTCAATAGCAAATACTTAAACTAATAAACTAATAA